AGCCCCCAATTGCGCCATCACTGTTTCTTATGTTGTGGGAGGGCGGGTGGGAATGGGCATGCCATGCTTGACTTGCTCGAGCTGGCTAGATTGACCCACGCCCACACCCACACCCACACCCACACCCACCCACACTCACACACCCACACACACACCCACACATCCTTACTGCACTTCTTAAGATTAAACACCCCCAAACCCCCACCCAGCCGGCCGATAGCAACCCCGCCGTCCGAACTGTCAAACAACAGCACAAACTTAACTTTTTCGCGTCAACACGTCGCCGAGTTGCGAAAAGTGTAGCAAGACTGGGACGGAATGAACATCGCTCGGGGGGGCACTAAGCGGGTGGTCGCGTCCTACCTCCCCACGAGCAATGCAAAGTCACAATTTTTCTCGGCAGCATGGACTTTCTTGTCGCCGGCGCTGCGCAAAAGTGTAGCAAGAATGGGACGCGGCGCACATCGCGCGCAAACGCCTGGCCAACCCTACGCGGGACCCCCCGTCCTACTTGCCAAGAAGCACCGCAACGTCGACGTTTTTCTTGCCAGCATGTATTTTCTCCTCGTGGGCGCTGCGAATCGCGTAGCAGGAATGGGACGCGGCGCACATCGCGCGGGGACGCCTGCTCGTCAACATGGACTTTCTTGTCGTCGACGCTGCGGCCCGTCGGGTTGAGAAGCTGGGCGCGGCGTACATCGCGCGTGGTCTTATTTCTCGTCGACGTTGCTCGATACGCGGCAGGAATAGGACGCAGCTCATGTCGCGCGCTGAACGTCTAGCCGCCCACGATATAAGATGAGCGACGGGCGTCGGACGCGACGCACTTGCTTCTTATGTTGTGGGAGGGCGGGTGGGAGTGGACGGAGCCCTCTGGCTCGTTCGAGCTGGCTAACTTGACACACACACACACGCTCCCCACCCCCATTGCCGCCGCGAGACAGAAGCAGGAGGAGAAGGAGGATGAGGGAGAGTTCCCTTTGAAGCTGCAAAATACATACATTGGATTGTGTGGGGTATTCCTCCCCCCTCTATCCTCTCCTCCCTCGCCCCCTCGAGTGAAAAGGCTGAGGAGAGAAGGGGGATGTTTTTAAGGCTATTAGGGGGTCTAGGGGGTCCTCAACCTTCTCCTTCTCCTTTTCCTCCCCCTCCTCATTCTCCTCCCTCGAAGGGACAAGGGAGGACTAGAGGGAGGGAAAAAGGAGGAGATTAGGATCGGTTGGGCGGTCATGGCGATTCCCCGTTTTGGGAAGAGGAAGAGAGGAGGCGATATCCGATCCTGAGTTCAAACCTTCCCACGAAGAATACGCAGGGGACGACGTACGGTCATCGTGCTACCAAATGGCACGCGAAAGAAGGAACGCAGGGGCTTGTCTGGCCACGCCGGGCCTCGGCCACAAAGATCAGCTCGGCCATGCCTCCCTACAGGCGGATTTTAAACGAAAAATGCAAAATAGTCAAACAATGCCCCCAAATAGTCAAACATAATAAGGCGTCTTAACTGTAACGTCGCCTACTCCTGCTCCTCCTCCTCCTCCTCCTCTTCCTCCTCCTCCTCCTCCTCCTCCTCCTCCTCCTCCTCCACATCCTCCTCCCCCACCTGCGCTGTGTCTGGCTTCAATATTATGCCATATCTGCAACCCACTTACAGAACGCTAACACCTCCCCTCCTCCTCCTCCTCCTCCTCCTCCTCCTCTCCGATCAGCTCTTCCGACGTGCCTGGGGGCTCGAGAGGCGGGGCGCTCCCCGAGCTTCCCGAAGACTCGCGAAGTGCACAACCAGCGCGCGTGATACACCAATACAGCAATATTCGGCGGCGAGGGAGGGGCAGACATGAGAGGGAGAAGGCCTTCTCAAAGGCGTCGGGACTTCTCAGAAGCCCTCGCGCCTTCTGAGAAATTGTTTTGCGTCCTCGGGACGGCTTGGGAAACTTCTCAGACGACCGGGAGACTTCCGAGCCTTCTGAAACGGCAGTCTACTTCTCGCTTTCCCCCCGGTCTCGCCGCCGAAATAAAGTAGAGGAACCAACAACTGCATAAAGATAAGTTCTCGCAGATCCGCGCGGATTTCTTGGATCGGCGCTGGGCCCCCTGGGCGGCGCCTCTAGCGCCTATCCAAGAAAGGCGTGCGGATTACCGATGCGATGATGAACCATAAGAGATCCAGGAACTCCAATCGTGGAGTGGCCACGGAAATCACCGCCAACCCTTATCAGGCAAGGTACCATCCAGGGTCTGAAGCCTCCTGGCCGCTTTCCATAACCAATGCCCCACGGTACTAGTTTCGAGGGCCAGACCTTGATTTGGGGGGGGATGCTGGTTTCTGAAGCGTTCTCCTCCCGAGGAATCACCACTAGACCCCCTCAGCAGCTTGAGCCCAACTTGTCGGTGGGTCCCTGAGACGTGCTAAGGCACCAAGGCTCCATGGGCACATCACCTCCCGGATGGCCTGTCCCTCACTCGAGGCACGGACTGCATGAGCGCTCTACCGCTCGCTCCG